CTGCTGCTGCCAAAATTATTCAAAAAACATCTTCCATTGGAGAACTGGATTTTCTAGAGGCATTTCACATTCATAAAAATCTTTCTGTTCTAGTTAACGATCCTAATTCCAATCCAAATTTGCCTTCGGCTTTTAGAGAAATTATGTTTTAGTTCTGGTTTCGCCAACAGATGGCGCCACTTGCTTATTCTTGTCCAGGCTTTCTTATCTTATCTAAACATTATTTCCTATCTTGTTCATTTGCGGTTTTGCAGCTGAAGATGATGGTTCGGTAAAACCATCGAAACTAGTCCTGTGAAAATTTTGTGAATTAACGCTGATTTTTGTTGATTGACTTCTGAATCAGTATTTATTCGGCGTGTTATTGTGTCTTAATGACTGGAATTATATTCCTGGAACGCTAAATCCAGCGGACCTCCCTTCCCGAGGATACAGTCCGGAAACCTTAGTCAAATCAAAATGGTGGGAGGGTCCCCACTGTTTGAGAAATGATCCAGAAAAATGCCCTACCTCTGAAATTGTTCCGAATTTTGACATTATAAATGCTGAAAGAAAGAAGACCATAATTTCTGCAGTTAATTCGAATGCTATGACTGAAGTTAATTTTGATAAGTTTTCCTCCTACAATACCATTCTAAAGATAATATTTAGTAATTTTAGTTTTGTTAAAAATGTCAGACTAAGTCCTAATGAAAGAACTTTTGGAACAATTACAGCGATTAAAGAAATTAAAGGAGCTGAATTAATTCTTTTGGGATTATCGCAGAGTGTATCATTTTCTGGATTAGATGACAAAAGATTGCATGTACTTCAACCAATGATTGATTCTAACGGAATCCTTAGGGTTAAAACCAGAATTCTGAGAAGAGATGATGCAGAAAATTTTCGATTTCCTATTATTCTTCCTTCAGATCATCCTATTGTAGCAAAATTAATTAGAGCTAAACATGAAATAATCAATCATGCAAGAGTACAATTTTTGATATCCGCTTTACGAGAACAATATAGGATTTTGAAAACTGTCAAGAATGTCAAGACTGTCAAGAATGTCATAAGAAGCTGTGTTGTATGTCAGAGGTTCGATACTAGTTCTTCGAAAACACCCATTGCTTCTCTCCCAGAAGACCGAGTAAGAGAAACAGACCGAGTAAGTCTTTGAGATTGTAGGTTTTTACTTGACTGGACCGTTGATATTGAAGGGAAATCAAAAATCATGGATTGTGATTTTTACCTGTGCATACCTTTGGAATTAATTTTCTCCCTATCGACTGAAAATTTTATGCAAGCGATGAGACGTTTCATTGCTAGACGTGGAAGACCCCATACCATCTATTCCGACAATGGAACAAATTTCAAAGGAAGTGATAGATTATTCAAAAGCTTAAGTTGGGATAAAATCTTAGAACATGCTAGTATCCACAGGATCACATGGAAATTTCTTCCGCCATCAGCTCCCTGGTGGGGAGGATGGTGGGAGCAATTAATAGGAGTCATGAAAAGAATCTTTCGCAAAGTTTTTGGACGATCATCTCTGAATCATGAAGAAGTGATAAAAATTTTGTGCGACTGTGAAGCAATAATGAATAATCGTCCATTTACGTATGTCTCGGAAGATTTTGAAGATTTATCTCCGATCACACCTTCCATGTTTCTCCATAAGATTCGACAAATTGGAGTTCCTGATCTGGATAATATAGATGCAAAATCTTTAAACAAAAGGCTTATTTATCGACAAAAACTTTTACAAGATCTACATAAAAGATTTCGAATCGAATATCTCGGACAGTTACGGCAAAACTATGAACATGTAAAAGGTTCACAACCTCTGAAAATAGGAGATCTAGTTTCAGTGTCCGATGATAATAAGAAGCGAACAGACTGGTTATTGGCGAAAGTAAGCGAGATTTTCTAATCTCGGGACGGACATGTGCGGTTAGTTAAGGTGTAAGGATCTTAAGTTTTACTAACGTTTATTTTATTTTAAATCTTTACTATAACTTCTTATTTTCTACTTCCGGCCAGAATTATAAGCTTTAAAGTATTTATGCAAAATTTGTCTGGCGAACGCCAAGTATTTAAGTTGTGGCTTTTTGCCAAGCGAAAGAGAGGAAGCAGTTAGTCGAAGCAGGCCGCTTACCTTAGAAGTTTACTCAGTTGCTGGTTGCCGTCCAGGCCAGAGGTTTTAATCCTCTTGATAATTTTTAAACGTATTGTAGTGTTCACAGTTCTCTGTACTACATACGCTTCCTGTTAATATAAGGCCAATCTTCCACGTTATTATTTCAAAGTTAAGTTAGCGTTTAGTTATATTTTTTATACTTTTACGTTTTGACCCCAAGTAGCGGGTCTGTGTATTTCCGAAGTACGGAAGTTATTCTAAATAGAGAAAAATAAAGGGTTTTGTATACCCTTCTTGTGTATCCTGTCTACTTCCCACAGTTTTGAACATAGCTTTAGTAAGCTTTCTGTTCCGAGTCAGGTCCTTGCATGTTCCCGAAGAAGGTAAGACGGAACATTGAACCTGATAAAGGTCAAGACTAAGCTTGGAGAAGTTTTGCGACCAACCAAGCGTTTGTATTCTTTGGAGATAACATCATCAGATGAATAGTCTAGATTTAGAAATGTGGCAAGAAGCTCTTCTAATGAAACAGAGACTTATTGCGATCCTGATATTCGTAATGACTTGCCTCAAGATCTTAGGAGCGATAAGATTCCATCGATGACTACAAGAAGCGGTCGAAAGGTAAAGCCTGTTCAAAGCTTACAGTTTTAAATTTGATTTTTCTGCAAATTTAAAGGTGGAAGTATGTTGAAACTCTCACCGACAACCACGTGATTTGCGTATGCGCGCAGCAAAAAACATAACTTTTAACCTACTTTTAAGAACTCGTGATGGACGTTTGAGTGAAACATGTAATCCTTCTCTTCTGTGTTATATATATATATATATATATATATATATATATCTTAGTTTAGTGATGTGATTGTAAATTAAATATCTTATTGTCTTAGAAGCCTCTCTTTTTCCGTGAGTAGTTCCTTTTGATGAATGTAATTAATAAAAACATTCCCGGATACGCCTTTGGAACGAGAAAGAAGACCGCCTGAAAGGTAAGCCTTTTTACCTTTTATTTTCTAAGAATGATTATGCTGTTAATCATATCATGAACACGACACTGATATTTCGTTTGGGTTTCCACCCCATATAAAGATTACATGTTGTATTTCATGAAGAAATAAGTTTCTTGCTATAATGGGGTTTTCAATGTCCTTATTGCGTTCAAAATTTGCTAATTGTTCAAAAATTGTTGACAGAAATCTAATTTTTGCTTAGAATGTCATTCTGTTTAGGTTTAATTACTTTTAGCTTTTAAGTTTTGATGTCAGATACTCTTGTTTCTTCGAGTCATTTATACGATTATCAACCCTTCCGCGCCGACTGTTACTCATACGTGTTAGCAAGAAACTTACTCATTTCCCGGCCGGACCGATGGCGTGTCAGAGCCTTTTCTCGCTCCTCCCCCGGCTATCACATATTTGTGCTAGTGTCCTGCAACATTTAAAGGCCTCTAGATTTCGTCCCGTGTCCATTACTTTTGAATTGAATATAGTTTTAGGATCCTGACTTGATAAATTTGATCACATTTTGCGTGACGCTAGTGTCAGCTGTAACCGGGGGAAGCGTAATATAAACACACAGAACTCGTCATTTTAACACGCTACGTGACATTAACATTATAGCTTTATAGCTAACAAACATGATAGCTCTAAAGTAGTTCCCGACTAAAATTTGATGGACTTCGCGCCGTCGGCACGGCATCTGATCAACCATTTATGTCCTGCTGCTGGATTTATTTACTTCAAAGTGATTTAAACGTTAAAAAAAGTGATTATATGAATTACTTACAAAAATTAAAATGGTGGTGAACATTATTAGAGACGCAGAATGTGTATACAAATGGTATGGTAAAAATAAAATACTCAGAGGAACAACTAATCCAGGCTATTAGAAGTTCTAACTACTGTTCTTGTGTACTATATTCTAATTATTCTAATTGCTGTGCTCATACGCCTTCTGGGCAGTCAAAAACGTAATGGTCGAAATCACTGACACCCTATATGTGGATTAGTCATTTATAATTTGTCACCACCTAAATTTGAAGACTGCACCTTAATTGATCCTCGTCAAGTGGGGGGAGAATGCAATTTTTTTAGCCTTTCAATAATGAGTGCTCATTCTGGGCAGTAAAAGAGGTAATGGTTGTAATCTCCGACCACTCCATATGTGCATTAGTTAAGTCTGCTACCTCTGGGTAATGGTCGAAATCACTGACCACCCTATATGTGGACTAGTCATGTATAATTTGCCACTACCTAAATTTGGAGAATACAAATTTGGAGCATCCATTCCATAATGGATGCTCTACTATACTCAAAACAAAACAAAACAAAAAAAAAAAAAAAAAAAAAAAAAAACCTCTCTCATATAACTACAAAATTACTAAATTTGACCACTGCTCCGTAATTGATGCTTGACAAATGGGGGAGAATACAAGTTGTTTAGCCTTCGATAATGGGTGCTCATTCTGGACAGTAAAAGAGGTAATGGTTGTAATCCCCGACCACCCCACATGTAGACTAAGTTGATTCTGCTGCCTCTAGGCAGTCAAAGAGGTAATGGTCGAAATCACCGACCACCGACCCGGACTAGTAGTTCATAATTTGTCACCACTTAAATTTGACGTCTGCGCCTTAATGTTTGACACTTTTGTAATTTCTTCAGATAGTTTTGTTTTACTCTGAAGGTGTAATCCTAATATTCCCATTGCTGGGCAATAACCAAGTAACTTGCTTTATTTTTTTTTAAGACAGGACCCAATTATTTGCAACCTAATGATCAGGATAATTTTATAGACAATTGGTTTCGTCAACGATTTCTTATTTAGTCCCTTTATCAAAAACAGAGCTTTGCTTCTTACAAAAGAAAGGGCGATACTTACGTTTTGCAGATGGGATTCAGAGCAAGGAGACTCTAAATGGAATTCTTCTGTAGGCACGATGAGACCGAGTTTCTCAGCATTTTGGTGAGCCTTTGGATCGTAAAGATCGAATCTGCTCTGAGTGATCCTTTTGTTGATTTCAATATAAATGTAGGAAAACACCCATTTGCACCAATACACAAAATCTGAAATAAATGAGGAATTTTCAATAATTTATACTAGTAACTGAAATTCCTGAAAATGCAAGTAACAGAAATTACTGAATCGAAATATCGGAAGAGTGTAAACGTGTATATATATTTATTGATTTAGATGTGTATGTCTTTCCAAAGTGCTTTCTTCATAGTCTATAAAGAGCTATCAGAAAACATAAATGAAAAAAAAAAAAAAAAATTCCTAACAAAAGTTTTCTCAAAGGTTTTTCAAGGATCTTTTTCCTGAAGAAAGTATTATTTCACTATAACACCTGCCTTCTCTTAAAAATGAAACAGATGACGTAAATATCATCAGTAACACAATGACTCTAATTATTTGTTAATTTGTCTTCCAATTAATTTTCTCTCATGTTAATGAGAGATGGTCTCTTAGTTTAGAAATTTTCCACGTCAGTTTTAAATTTAGGGAAATCTATAATATGCTTGATCTATATGAAAATATACTCCGTATTAAGTTAAATAACACATATAATGTTGTAACTTATGGAGTAAAAATTAATAAATCTTAATTATAGTCAAAAGGTGTTCAGACGATCAAACGCTATTGCTTCTGTAATATTTATTAATCTTTATATATTGTCTATATGTAGCATACCATAACTATAAATTAAAAAATCTTCATTCTGGAAAATAGAGTTTTACGCTCACCAAAATCATTAACTTTACTTTTATAAAGAAAAAAAACTTCGCAGTTTAACTTTAAAAAGTTTTAAATATTTGACATATTCTTTCTTGATTTTACAGTTAATAGACTGCACGACTCAAAAATCTCGCAAAAGGACTTCGACCCATGGAGCTAAAACAGAAATCAAATCGTATATTGAATGCAAGAACTCTGGAGTGTGCTAGTGAGTCCAAGTTCGGGTTTATCAAAACGGGGGGGGGAGCATTTGCCGCTTTATCTACTGTTTCAGTCTAGATTGTAGAAAATCATGTCTTCGGCAATATACAAAGTCTGATGCGAAGTTATAAAAGTTCAAAATATTGCTTTTGAATCATTAATTAATTATTAATTCGGCAATAATTCAATCATTGATTCAATCATTCATGCAGTACAAAATTAATTATAATTTGACCACTTAATTCGTTTTCAATTTCAAATTTATTCCTTCCTAGTAGAAAATTAATAATAATTTAAGTTAGAAAACACTTAATTTTTCCAGTGCAGCAGTGGTTCTTTTCATAATTTTTAATAAGCTATTCACAAGTTTAGACTCACTGACTAAGAATAGAAATTAACGAGGTCTTAAAAAGAATCTTTAGTTAGTAAATAGATCCATATATTAAAAGCCAAGTAATAAAAATTTGTATTTCTCAATAGATTAACTAAAATAATTTATAAAGTAGAATGCGAGCTTACCTGATGGCTTCACTGAAATTAATCCCAAAGCTAATGTGATCGGAACTGTAATAACTGACCCCATTGCAAATTCCTTAAGAACTGTTGAACGTAATGTGTTTTGAGCATTGATATCGTCCTTCGAAACGTGATGCAATCGATTATGCAATCAGCTGCGAAAAAATAAAATTATAAATGAAAATATCCTGATAACGCAGCGTTACAGAGGTTGCGCGTTTATCTACTTTGTCTGAAGGTCAATTAAATTCGTTTTTTAAAGATGCCTTAAATTTACCCATTGATATCAACATTAGCATTCCAAAGAGTTATTGGAAGTCCTTTCATTATAAAAAGCTTTTAGCTATGTGGAATGAGGAATACATTTCATCTTGTAATGCTGCAGTCACCAAAAAGTTCCTTCCTTCTATTTACCATAGACTGAATTCCGAGTCTTTCCTCTCGTTAAATTTTAAAGTGTCTCAGTTATCTGGTCACGGCAGTTAAGTCAGTTTATCTGGTCACGGTAAATTTGCAAGTTATCTGTTTCGTTTTAATCTACGATCAAACAATTTATGTGAATGTTCAAAAAGAGTTCCTCAGAATGTGGAACATTTGATTTTCTCGTGCCCTACATTTGATGGCCCTAGATTATGCTTACAGAACGATTTGAAAATGTTCGGAGTGACTTGGCCAGTGAACTGATCTGTTTTCGTGAAGTCCAGACTGCTGTTCTCTGCTTTTGTTCGCTTTATTTATGCATGAAATTTTTAATGTTTATTTATACATGTAACCTTTAATATTCTAGTTAACTTACTTCTGTAAGCCCCGTGTTGTACATATGTGGTGCACGGGGAGTCTGTATGTTTTCAAAGGAAAAAAAATGCCTTCGATAATTCGTCCCATTCAAGCAACATCAACCTAGCATTATTAATATAACATTTTATTGTACGAGATTATCTTATTTTGTTAAGATTTTCGAACATTTTGTATCTGAAACATAAGGCAAAATATTTTCAGGAGTTCTGCTTACTTTTCGTTTTTCCAGTCTTCGAGCTGAACTTAATTTTTTTAAATAAGCATTGAAGTTTCTTAAGCATTTTCACAGTTTAATGATTAAAGGACTTTTGATTTCGGTTTCGTCAGAACTGCAACGCTGCATTCGATACAGTAATAGATACTACTGGATACTTCTAGCTTCGAACTTCATTTAAAGACCAAGCAAGATAAGTATTTTTTTTTTCTTTTTTACAAGTTTGACTTTGGTTTTCCTCATTGCACCATTACGTCGTAATGGAAGACAAGGTTAAGATTGCAATAAATAGTAGAGGTAGAGCGAAAGCTGCTCTTACTAGAATTTCAAATTTCATTAATGATGATAAGCAGTTATTCGAAAAACACGATTTAATGAATAAACTTCAAAAAATTGAAAGCGTTTATTCTGATTTTGACAAGGCAGACGCAGAACTTCCGCCGGAAAGTTCTGAAATGGAAGAATTTGAGAAAAAATATTATGAAACCAAAGCCAAACTACAACAAGAACTTGAGAAATTAAATGTTACTGTTAATATGCAAGTTACTAATGTTAATGAACGTCAAATACCAGGTTATAGTACTACAAATACTGCTAATAATTTTAAATTACCGAGAATAAATATGCAATCTTTTAATGGTAATTACAGAAACTGGATGTCTTTCAAGGACTTATATGTATCATTAGTGCATAACAATGAAAATTTAAGCAACATTCAAAAATTTCAATATCTAAAGGGTTTATTAACTGATGAACCGGCTTCTATTATTAAACATATTCCCATTTCAGAAAACAGTTATATGGAAGTCTGGGGGAAATTATTATCTAGGTATGATAAGAAAAAGCAAATTGTCACATCACTAATAAAAACTTTCGTGGAACAATCTTGTGTAATTAATGCAAACTCAATTAATTTGCGAAAAATTGCCGATGCTTCTGATGAGATTATCAGAGGTTTAAAATCTATTGATCCCAAAGCCAATGAAAGGGATGTCTGGCTAATTTATATTTTATTACAGAAGGTTGACAACGAAACATGTAAACAATGGTCTGAGTTTTCAGCAAAAGTGAAATTTCCTACTTTTGAAATGTTTATTGAATTTATAAATGATAGATGTTCCTCTTTAGAAATTTTCCACGAAAAAGAAAGGGAAAAAACTCAACATAGTGTTAAGAGAATTTCTATTAACAAAAGTATCAAATGTATTATGTGTAAATCAGTTCATTTTCTTTTCAAATGCCCCAAATTTAAAGCACTAACTGTCAAAGAAAGAAATCAATTTGTTAGGAAAAATAATCTTTGTTTAAATTGTTTTTCTAGTTAGCACAAAAAATCTGAATGTATGTCTCCACATCGTTGTCATTATTGCCAGTTATTGCATCATAGTACTCTGTGTGAAAATCAATTAAAAAGTTATTCCACATCTGCGTCTCTTTCTGAGAGCAGTTTTCAGTCAGAACAGCAAAGAAAGAATCCAACCGCGAATGAAATACCAGACATTGCGTCTACGAATGAAAACAAAAACGGAACTGTAATTCAAAATAATAGCGTTCAAACAACTTTTGGCTTATTGCCAACTGCATATGTAAATGTAATTGATTCGATGGGTCAAAAACGTAATATTAGAATGCTTTGTGATAGTGGTTCCGAATCAACATTATTATCTGAATCTTGTATTAATTTATTGGGATTTAAAAGGAAAAATGCGCGTTTTCCTGTCAAGGGTTTAGCTGAGTCAGAAGTCGCAGTTACAAAAGCTTGCGTTGAAATCGAGTTGATGTCAATCCATGATACATTAGTGAGAATGCCAATTAAGGCATTTGTATTAAACTAACTGCTGCGCTTCCAAGCCAAAAAATAAATGAGAAAGACTTTTTCGCATTTGAAAAATGTAAATTAGCTGATCCATATTTTCCTATACCGTATAAGATAGATATTATTCTAGGATTTGACTACTTTTTTTTTTCCATTTTACTTCCTGGACAAATAACTTGTTCTCAAAGTGATTTAATTGCTCAAAACTCAATTTTTGGTTTCCTCATATCCGGAAAACTACCGGAATCTCAAACGAAATCAAATTCACTTTCAAACTTGCATATTTATGAAATAAATATTGATAGCGAATTGAAAAGGTTTTGGGAGTTAGAAGAAGTACCAAATTCAACTGACACTGTATTCTCACCTGAAGAACAATTTGTTGAAACACATTTTCAGGAAAATTACTCAATTAATTCAGATGGTCGTTTTGTGGTGAAGTTGCCATTTTTAAAATCTAAATCTGAATTAGGTAATTCAAAACCAGCTGCACTTTCTCGATTATATGCTATGGAACGTAAATTTAAGGAAAACTCGGAATTTGAAAACCAATACAAGGATTTTATGCATGAATATGAAAATTTAGGTCATATGGAATTGGTCACACAAAACTGTTTAAATAGATTTCAGAATGAGCAATATTTCCTTCCCCATCATGCAGTGATCAAGCCAACTCGGTCGCTGGTGGGCCGTAAAAAGAAAAGCATGTAACTTATTTACATGCTGGTGCTTCATTGCTGTCCCACATTATCAAACAATCATATTGGATAATAGGTGGAAAAAAGCTCATTAATAAATGTGTTCGCAAATGCATCAAAGGCTTCAAATTTAAAGCATCTACCGCATCTCAGCTTGGGTAATCTACCTAAGCATCGAGTAACACTCGAGAGGCCTTTCTTCAACTGCGGAGTGGACTATGCCGGTCCTATTTCAATCAAATTCAACAAGGGTCGTGGATCAAAATCAACCAAGGGTTACATTGCTCTATTTATTTGACTCGCTACTAAGGCACTACACATCGAGGCAGTCAGCGATTTAACCGCTGATTCATTTTTAGCTGCTTTGCGTCGCTTCAGTGCTAGACGAGCAGCTCCAAGACACATTTACAGCGACCATGCAACAAACTTCGTTGGGACTAATCGAAAGCTCAGCTAAATACAACGATTATGGGCTTCACTTCCTAAGAACGAAGCCGTTGCTCATCATTTAACTCAAGCATCAATAGAATGGCACTTCAGCATCTCCTCATTTCGGATTTGGGAGGCTGCAATTAAATCAACTAAATATCACTGTAAAAGAGTAATCGGTGAAACTCTACTTACTTTCGAAGAATTGACAACTCTATTGGCTCAGATAGAAACCGTTTTAAATTCTCGTCCATTATGTAGTGTAAAGAATACTGACATTGATTGCATTAATATTCTCACTCCTTCACATTTTCTTACAGGAGACGTGATCCTATCCTCTCCTGAACTACCTCTTACTAGTCCTGCTAATATACGGAATAGGTGGGATCTCCTTCAAAAGATGCGGAAGGACTTCTGAAAATCATGGACCAAAGCATATCTATCTTCTCTTCAAACCAGAAAGAAATAGAAGGACACTCAGCCGAATATCAAAATTGGAGACATCGTCCTGTTACTAGATGATGGTCATCTTCCAGGTTCTTGGCCACTAGGAGAAGTGGTCGAACTTCATCATGGTGCTGACGGACTAGTTCGTGTGGCCACGGTTAAAATTAAAAGCTCTATTTTTAAAAGAAACATTCATAAATTAGCACCTTTGCCCATATATCAGGACTAATGCCTGATAGGGTGATAGTATGTTCCGGTACACCGGAACAGAACAACTCAACCTGACTCTTTCGCTTTTGGAACTATGCCAAAGAACATTGAATTCAGTTGAACAGTCAGACTCAGACGAACGCATTCGCAAGGCAGCTGCTATGCTGTCTATTCTTCACTATTTTTGTTCTGTTCTCGTATTTATAAGTTTTATATGTCATTTTCTTGTTTATACTTGTATTGTGCAATTATTTAATATACGTTTGTGTTTAAAACGAGGACAGGTATCTAGCTCCTTCACATTACATCGCAACAGTGATCAAGGAAGTGATTAATTCTAGGTGAGCAGCCCTATAAAGTGCGCACAGGAAAATTAGTATCCAAGCCTTTAAATTCTCTTTCAGGAAAACTGGGCCGGCGAGATTGACTCCTCTCATTTGGAACGTTTTCATCCTTTTCTTCCTTTCTGGGTAGAAGACGAAGATTAACTTCTAAGGCCCAACTGTGCTTTTCTAACATGTGACGCATTCTTTTACCACAGTTTCTACAGTTCTTCAATCTTCGATAATCCAAACTCTTTCTCTCAGAATCATTGGAAGAATTTGCGATCCAGCGTGCTGCATCTAAGGGCAATTGCTGAATTAGTCGTTCCTCAATTACAGTTTTCTAAGTTAAGACTACAGAGAATATGTATTCTTGTAAATTTTGACAATTCAAAACTCGAGATTTCATTATTTTCATCAACGAAAACCTGAAGAATTTTCAAAGAATTTTCAAACCAAACTTCTGTACAAAGTGAAAATAAAGTTTTTCTGCTTTCTCGAACTGATGTATTATAACGACTATTTCCATTTTTCAGGTAAGTGAGTTTAAATCTTTTAATATACAAGAAAAAGTATTATTATTGTGGCTAATCTCGCTTGTCTGACCTAATCAGAATAAGTCCACAGATTTTATTGTGTTATTGAGTACAAGATTTGAGACATGCTTTTATTGGCCAGAGCCTTGAATGCCGTATAGATAATAGTACGACTCTGCTCAGTTCCGTCAAAATTTTGAGAAACAGTATTTCTGGAAAGAGTCCTAAACTAGCCAAAGGAGCAGTTTATAATACAGAAGCGATTATACTCACCTATCCAGCTTCTCCCTCACACTTATAAAAAGTGCTGTTGGAAAAATCAGTCCCAAAATGGCAAAAGAAACTTTCTGATCTCTTCAGTAGTGAAGTCATTGCCTTTGCAGATGATTTGTTGATTTGTATTCAAGGAAAAGAAATGCAAAAAGCTTTTCGTCTCGCCCAAGATGTTATAGATTTCATTTATCATTGGTCAATAGATTTTAAGTTAAAGTTTAACCATGCAAAATCCAAGGCCATGTTTATTGATAGAAAAAATACTACTTATGAAGGATACCAATTGCTTTTAAATGACAATCCCCTTGAGAGGGTGAATGAAATTAAATATCTAGGTGTTTTTTTTGGACAGCAAATTTAACTGGAAAAAGCATATTTCCTACATTTCTAATAAATGTGAGAGACTTCAGCGTGGGCTGAATCGAATTGCTTGTAATAGTTTTTGGTGTTAAATCGAATGTTAGCGCAATTATTTATAAACAAGGCATTGTACCCCTTATTTCATATGGATGTAGAGCTTGGGGATTGTCTCTAAAAAGAAAAATTAACTCTAAACGCCTGCTTCGAGTTCAAAGACGAATTTTGCTGCGAGTTATAAGCGGTTACCGAACTATTAGTTACAATGCTGTTTTCTCTCTTGCCGGATTTCCACCACTGGATTTGTTTATTCTGACTTTTATAGATTATAAGAATAGTCTTGCAAATTACTCCAATTCTCACTTTGGTCGTTTATTGCCCTTGTCTGTTCTACCACATCCTTCTGTAAGACAACCAGTACAGATTCTGGATAGTACGGACACTGATGTTAATTCATTCTCATTTGTGCTGTATACGGATGGTAGTAGGATTGATGATAAAGTTGGTTTTGCTTATGTTATTTTTGAAGATGATATTGAAATTGAGTGTCACCAATTTCGCATTAGAAATGAATGTACTGTATATATTTCTGAACTTCTGTGTATTAATTTTGCAATCAAGTGGATAATTAGCCAGAATGGAAGTGGTTCCAGCTATTTAATCTGTACGGATTCACTCTCTTTCCTGGAATCTCTTAAAAATACCTCTTTATGTAATGATATTATTGTCAATATACAGCAGTCTCTCGGAGATCTGGAGAAGAGGGGTATTTCAGTGTTTTTTACATTTGTCCGTGGTCATTCGGGTAATTATGGAAACGAGAGAGCTGATTGGCTTGCTAAGAATGCAACTAAAAATGATATTAACGTTGATGTAAATATTCCAAAATCTTATTTAAAAAAACATTCAAAGCTAAAATGATTGAGCGGTGGAACTGTGATTATATCTCTTCTGATAAGGGATCTGTTACAAAAGCATTCTTCCCAACTATTTTTGAAAGACTGAAAAGTAAGGACTTGTTGCTCAATTTTAAAGTTACGCAATTTTTGTCTGGACATGGTAAGTTTAATGTTATCTTGAACGATTTAAGCTGATATCTTCCAATTTGTGTAATTGCAATCTTAGCGTTGAGCAAAGTGTTTTCCACCTGCTTTTTGATTGCCCACTGCTTGATAAAGCAAGAAATCTTTTGAAATGTAGATTGAAATTCATTGGAATTCATTGGCCGCCGAAATGTTATGATTTTGTATCCTCGATTTCGGCCTACCGAGCTTTCAATGATTTTGTTGACTTTTATTTTAAACACTGTTAATGATTTCTTTATACATTTTTATACTTTTGTATTTACTTGTGTTTTTTTTCCTTGTTATGATTTCATTGTATTGTTGAAAACTGATGATATTACTTACTATTCTGCCTTTTTGACTTACGATTTGTAAGTCTCGTGCGATACTTTGTGGTGCACGAGGATTTCTTTTTCTTTAAATAAAAATTTAAAAAAAAAAAATGGCAAAATGAACGAGATCACAGTACAATAGGAAGACGGACGTATGACTTTATGCCAAACGTTCAACTGAAGATCTTACAACCATTCAACAGCTAACACAATTTATAACAGATCATAGTCCATTTCCTATATACTTTCATAGGTCCAATATTTCAGAAAAAAACATTTGTATCTGTGAAATTGAAGGTTTCCCGGAACATTACATCGTCTACTGCACATTGACAGACTCCCCTTATCTGCATCAACCAACCAACTACGACACCATATAAAAAATTTAAATTATAGAGCTTCCCTTATTTTACATAGCAAATTATTTTAAGTTTGGTACTTTTTCTAAATCTTTCATTTTCCCTCGCCAGGATGCAAATTTAAAGTCAGGTGAAAAGAGTATTTAAACAGACAAATCTTGTAGTTGATTCAGAGCGCGGCTTCACTAACCAGCGTACATTATTATTCTGTCCTCACTGTTATGCTGATTTGTTGTTACGCCTCGTTGGCCATTTAAATATGTGTACATCCGGATAGGTTATTGATTCAGCCTAGTTAGCCTTAAATTAAATTATTAGTCTAGCACTACTCAGTGTTGCCAGAAAAGCTTCATTTAAAGTAGCAAAAGAAGGCTAAAAAAGTCGCGAAAATCGCAAATGACCGTCTGATATCACTCGATTTTTGTGACGTCATAGTTACACATGCTCACATGACCTCTGACGTCATCAGAAATTTAATGGACATAATGGACATAAAAAAGATAGTGGAACAAGTAGAAACTGTTGTAGCAGTAGTTTTAACTTATATTCAAGAAATGTGCATAGTATGGGTGACGTTGTAAATGTAGAAAATGTTTAGTAGCTTTATTTTATTTATAGAATACTTTTTCACAATCAATTGTTTTATTGTAGAAGCTGTTATTTTGTTGAAGAAGTTAATTTCTGATATATTTGATGTTGAGTACTTGAAGAAAAAAGATGTAGCTAGTAATAATCAAGGAACATTTGAAAGGCAGAGAATTTGATTTTGTAGAAAATGTGATTTTGTTAGGATTTTGCTACTTACGGTAACTCATACCGAGGAAGCATATGAATACATTGTCGAATAATTGCTTTATAGATTTTTCTTAAAACAAAATGTGAAATTTCTATCAATATGTAGTTTGAGGCAGCAGAGGATGTCGTACATAGCGCTGTTGACTTTACTCATGTGGGCAACAACGATCTCTTTATATGAAAACTCATCGCTATATGGTTCCACCGCGACATTCTATGCATAACTATAACATTTCGGAGCAAAGAGCTCCTGGGTGGTACTGCCTTATTCCTAGCGCAAGAGTCACGTCACTTTTCGATAGCTATGATAGCACTTTAAGGAACAGTAAGTAATCTGTTCAGTGAGTAACAATATGTATGACGAAAACTTTATCAAGGGTAAGGAAGTCTCGACACTAGGAAACAAGAAGTAAAACAAGAACTTGAAGAAATCTAGCTATTTAAGTAAATTAGTTTTCCTTCAGCAGATTAAAAAAAAAGAGGCTTTAAGACTTGATAAATTTAAGTTTATGATAATTGGTTTTTTCATTAAAAATAATACTAATGAGATACTGGTCCGTAATGTTAAAATAATTTATCTCTTTATTCGGGACAAAACTGTTCTACATATTGTAAAATTTTTACATTATGCTAGTTAAAAGTAAAAGGAATCGAAACGACACTTACAAAGAGAATTAAAAATTTCTTTTTATTCAGATCAAATAGCACTCACATTGAAGAATCCACTCTTAAAAGACCTAAACTAGCATTTTTTAAATATTTTCATAACAAAATAGCCATTTTGTTGATACAGGTCACGTATTCTTTGGAGGTGGAAGTTTTTGTAATGTACCTGTGTTGCCATCAAGCCGTACATAATCTCCTATAAAGGAAAAATTTTAATTAGATGTATTTTTATTGGATTAATAAAAGCTTCTTTTAAATACAAATCTCAAATTTAATTTTTTATTGTAATAGCATAATTCTTCTGCAGTATAATTGCATAATTGTAACTTGTAGAACTAACTAATACCGAATAACCTCTTAAATTATCTTAGTTACTGATATATAAATGATATATAAATTTCAGAGAATTCAACGAAGTAAATGAAATTTCTATTTGTATCATAGTAGTACACATCGTCAATAGACATCTTCTCGAAGTTGGCTGCATCCACAGCTTGCCAAAAGTCATACGAAGACTTGAATAAAGCGAATCCATCACGCAATTCGATAATCGCCATCATCAACAATAATTTTCCCGAAAATGGTTGCATCCGCACATTATCAGAATCATCTAGAATTGCTCTTAGATCGTCTTAGATTAGATCCACTGTATTTCAGAAAACTATATCGTTTCAATTGATTTTTTATTAGATGATGACAAGACGTTTTTATTCAATTAGATCCTACTAAATAATTGTTAAATTTTCTCACCTTAATTTGAGAAATTTTGCAAGGGAAAATACGCCTTTAGGTGTAAAACTTGAAGAAATAAACCGAAACTGGTACTTTTTTAAAGTAATTGCGTATAAAGCGCATGCTAGGCTTCGATCTCATCATCAGTAAACAAAATGCGTCATTTTGTCATTAAGGTAATATGATTGTAACTCTTGCCAAAGGAGAAATATTAGAGAAAGCGCAAAATTGAATTATAATAAATGAAATATTAATATGAAAGTTATCTAACGAGAGCAGTTTTAAAGAGGTATTAAATTCTGTGTGACATGGTCCATCTCGCGGGACTATTAAATACTAAAATTAATCACAAAATCCAAAATGTTGAGGAAAATTCAGACTTCATAAACCGCTATTTTAATTACAGACAAGCCGCAATGTGTTTTATGTATAGCTCTCAAATTTTGACAGTTTTACTTTCCTTCCTGCAAATACTTTTATTTGAAATTAACAATTAAATCTTTATATTTCTTAAGCCCGCAACCTTCTGCCAGTTTATCCTTGAGTATAAACTTTAACAAATATTGTTTCACAAGAAAATAGTATAATTAAATTAAATTAAAATAATTTTCTTTAGATAAGTGCTGTTACATATTCTGTTAGAATTTAAATGATATTGTAAATTAGTTCGCAGCAATAATTTTTATTTCTTTGCAATTAAAACTTCTTAATTAAATTTAAAATTTTAATTTTTATATTTGCTTTATACGGGTAGAGAATATTTGTTAAATTCAAGCTTTAACAAATAGTTACTTTTTTCAAATGTTCGAAATCTAGACTGAAATAGAAAATTAATAAACTTTTTAACTGATTTTCCAGTTAAAAGAAGATTAAAATGAAAAGAAATGAAGAACTTCTTTTGTAATGGACACTTTTTATTAATTTTCTGCTTGTATTCTCCTTGCGTATAATTCAGTGAACTGTTTCATACGTATAATTCTTTCCAAATAAAACCATTAAAAATGCAACACGTTACCTGTTTGAAATTTTCTCGTTGCTCCATGCATTCCTGCTATGCAAGGTATTCCGTATTCTCGACTGACTACAGCTCCTGAAACAAATTATCGATGAAATGAAAAAAGTGCATAAATCAATATATATATATATATATATTGAACCGAATTGAGTTACACTTGCTAAATTCTCTACTTCCCATGAGTAGATTATCTGTACATTGTCAAAATAAAAAATAAAAAAATATTAAACGTCAAAATATTTTATGTGCAACATAACTATTCGTCCTCTTATCTTTGAAAACAGTAGTTGAAAATGTATTCAACGCGAAATTTACCAGTTAAGGACTGACCGAGCCCCTTCTAAAAAACTATTAAGTTTATTTACTGTAGAACGGCAAAACAATTGCTAATATCGTAGATATTGATAGCTGAACTTATTCATTTCTAAAGATCTTTATTCCTCCTGATCGTCCAGCTGACAGATGAAAAGAACTATTCGTAAAATGGGCAAATGCAATGATTTCTTATATTATTTCCCAGTTTGAAAGGGCAGCTAGGGAGAGGCACGAGGCGCAGTCGAACAAGTCCAGGTAGTGATAAATCCAGTTGGTGATAAATATAGTTTACTATACTTTTATTTTTAGCGGTGCTGTAGAAACCGTTACGTATTTTTAGCATAACAATAAGTTGTTCTTTCACCAAGATTCGAAACGGCGATCTCCTTTTTGCCCGTTAAGCTAAGCAATCACTAACCTTATGCTAACCACTTACACCAAAATATTACGCATAAAAAATATAGAATATTTTTTCTAAAATGGGATAATTTTAATCTTATTATAATAAGTCGTATTATAGCTTATTAAATTATTGTGTCAAAGATTTTTTTCATTTATATTTATTATTCATTTCAGGTTTTTCATTTTTTTTCTGTTAAGTTCATTTTCAATGATACCCCCGACTGTATCCAAATAGTTGACCAGAATATCCGAAACGGGAGCGTTTTATCGGAATAGCAGTTCCAGACTCTCCAAGTCAACTGTTAAAATTATACAGAAATAGTTTCGTTATTTCGGTATCTATTTCTTGTTAACATTTATTACACTAAGTAAGAAAGAGTGGAAAGTAAATACCATGTGATATGAGTCCTCCTAACTCAGTCACAACTCCAGCCAACGTCGGAAAATAAGGTGTCCAACCAATATCTGTGCCGTATGTCAGAAGAATTTCTCCAGGCTACAATAATAGAAATAAATAGCCTTTGGAAAAAGTACTTTTATTTTAAAAAGAACGGATTATTATAGTTATTTAAAATACTTCTTTTCATGCTTTCCGCTGTCAAATTTCAGTGAAGTACTTCCTTAATTTGTCTCCTTTTTTGTTAATGAGTGATCTTTACTATCACTTCCCGTTTTCGATTCTCTATCAGAATGTAAATAAGGTTGAAACAGATAGTATTTAAAGGAAGATTTCGGAGTTTAAATCAGAGCGTGTTTTGTGTCTCGAGGTCACCTTACTAGATTAGCTAGTTCAAATAAATTGTGTTATTCCGCTTTGCACTATTTTTGCCGTATTTGAATTATTACGTCCGTAAGAAGTTTTGAGCCAACTTCGCGTTAAATCCTTTTTGCAACCGTTGCCTATTAGACTTAGTTTTAATTTGAAACTTGAATTTACTATTTATTTAAGTTACAGCGCCACAAGTAGTTATGCTATTTTTAAAAACGAATCGTGCATTTATACTCAAAGTTCTGATTTAATAAAAAAGTATGTTTAAACCTTCTCAAGTCTTTGTCATTAACTTCATACGCAGCGATAATTCGTTGCCACTTTGTAAGGTGCTGGAACTTAGTTTATGTAACTGAAACAAGTTTATAACATCATTTGAAAAGTAGTAAAATAAGTTGCATATGAAAAAACATCTGATTCTAAATAATCATTCAATGACTGTTTGCCTTCAGCATGTGAGGATACGTTGAAACGTAAGTTTTGTCATGCCTTTGGTTTCTCTAAATATAGCTTGATGCAGTAAAAATACTCTTTCTCAGTTTTTAAATACGCCGATTTTAAATATTGATCTATCACAGTTTTGAAAATATTCTTAAAACTTTAGATTCCTTTTAAATCTGCGGCACAGGCATTCAAATCATTTTCTGCTTTGTCAAAATTATCCCGTAATTCATCTACATGCTCGTTCCACGCAAAGCAAGCCGTATATCTGCGTTCCTCCAAATTTTACGAATTCTCGAAATTTTCTTAAGGTAACGTCATCTTCTACGCTGTGACTGTCATCAGATCTATGAGAATTTCACAAAGCTTACAGTTGGCATAAATTTCTCATCAATTCGGACATCGAATCAATTTCTAAAATATTTTTAACTTTCATTAGATCCTAAATGATGTTAAATGTTTATGATGCATTACATGCGTTTCCTGTTCAGCTCACAGACCACTCGAAGTTTGTTTCTACCATAACGAGTGATTCAAAAATTCGGCAGACCCTTCCTGTAAAGCTTTCACGAGCATCTATCCATCCATTCGTAAAGCATCTGCAAGCAAATTTACTAACTCTTAAATATTAAAACTTTTAATTAATTAATCTATAAACTTCTTAATATTTTTCTTTCAAAATTGCTGGATAGAATCAGTACAATATATTTCTTTGTTTGTTTGTTTTTTTTTCTTTTTTTCATGTTTTTGAATAACATTATTAAGTTTTTAATTAACAAGAAAAGAAATAAAGTAATTAGCTTTTGGACATTGATCAATTCAGGTTTACTAATAACTCTGTAAAAAGAAATGAAATAAATTAACTACTTTCTTTTAAACATTGAATAGTTTAAGTTTACCATATTTATACATTTTATTTGCATAACAGCCGCACTATGGCCAACACCTGTTCCATAAGAATGAATAGGAGAATACAGTGACTGTTTGAAGACATCAACTCAAAGTCTTACGACTATCAGCTGCTATCTTTGAACACACAACCTAGTTTATCTATAGCATTAAAACTGTTCAAAATGTCAAGCAAATAGACGGAAATATCTTAAAGTTTTCGATTAGATTAAAATAGTTAGATTTTGGCAAAGCACTCGAAGGTTATCTTCCTAACTGAAAGGACGCCTTCATAGAGTACTTTTTAAGTAATACCGACTTATATTAACGTAATGCGTAAGAAAAGCTGCAAAAACTAACGCAGACAGCCCGTTCACTTGGAATACAAGTAGAGTCAAAGTACCACTCTTTAGCAATTTAACAGCTCAGCCATTGGTGGGCCGAAATTTCTTACACCAATTGTCATTTTAATTAGCAATTGATATTTTGAATTTTCAGAATATTTACTGAGATTAAAACAAATAAAAGTCACAAAGGATCATTCAGAATTAGTCAGTATTTGTTGAGAATTCTGCACAGAGTTTAGTGAGTTAGCTAAGTTTTAAATGTGAATGTGTCTTACACATATTAGTTAACAATTAATGACTACATCCGAGTTGCACAGTGTTTCATATCGTGTTTCCGAAGGAATTCTTAGGCTCTTGATTGTACTTTGTTACTAATTATTAATACGTTAGAATGAATATAGTTAACTTCTTATTAACTTACCAAGCATCTCTCTATAACTCCTTCTTGATTACTGCAGGCTGCGTTCACGAGCAAAGCAGGAGCCCCTCTGTTTGAACGAGTATTGTTAGGAGCAGAGGTGACATAGATTACCGGAGATATAGATTAAATTTAAAGCATAATTGTCGCAAGGAAAGATCACGGGACACAGCAAGTAATCTAGTTGGGTTTTATAAGGTACTTCTTCCGCCTTCTTAGCATGCCTTCGGAATATAACGGTCAGCACCCTTGGCGCGTATTCGAGAGGTCCGAGGTTCGAGTCCCAGCGAGGGCATTGTTCATTTTTCACTTTTCTGCTTCAAAAATAACCTAATGTCTCTACAGTGGCGCTCGAACTGAAAAAAGGTGTGGATGATAATTAACCATCACCAGGATTTGGCGATTGGGTACCCCTAATCACCAGTCGCTCTTTAAAAGGGGAATTATGTACAGTATTTCTCCCGTCTTCTTAGCGCGTCTTCATGGTGTAATGGTCAGAACGCTCGGCGCGTATTCCAGAGGTCCAAGTTTCGAGTCCCGACGAGGGCATTGTTCATTTGTTACTTCTTCTGCTTCAAAAATAACTTGATGCCTATACAATGTAAAAGAAATTATCTTATTCTGAAAAAAAAATTAAGAAAAGAAATTAGCTTATTGTCATGTAGAGTAAGGTTCCGTAAGTGATACCCTCAGATAAAATAAGTACAAATCGTAGAAGCTGTGAAAAAAATAAAAATTATGTATGGTAATAAAATTTTGTGGTGTTGTCGTTCTTAATATTTATTACAATAAAATTCCATACATATTCTCTTGGATAAAAGTAAAAAAAAAAAAAAATTATGAATGCGGACTTAATACGACTTGGACAACTAGTATTCCAAGTCATACCACCTGCAAGCAAATTTAGCTTAAGTCGGACTACGTTTATGGACTATGTTAAGTCGGACTACGTTTATGGACTATGTTAAGTCGGACTACGTTAAAATTCGACAATTACAATAAAACTTTCTTTATCTCAATTAATTCATTTATACAATTAATTACAACAATGATCACAAAGATAGTTTTTCATTTTCTTGTAAACTCCGGAAGTCGGAACTGGTGGCCGCTTTATTGTGGAAGCATCTAATAGGTAGGACACCGTTACTTCCTATGAAGGGACGGACAATTACAGCCATGCCTGAGATTCGAACCCGGGTCCTTTGGCATCGCAATATCCACTACACCGTCTGGGCGGCTCGCCTTTCTTTTCCATTTTAAGAACTTATAATTTGATCTTACTAAGTGAGCTTCATTTACTTTAAGTTCTCTTTCTTATTTAGGAATGATGATTTCGATCTAAGGAAAAATTATAAGGTAAATTCCATTTCTATTCATCTTTTAATATTATATGGTAGTACTGTACATTTCATGACATGAAGGTTAAATTATTTCCTTACAAATTTATAAAAAAAAAATAAATTGAATTTTCATATACCTTTAAGTGAGAGGCTTCCTCTAGAGTGATAGCAACACGGATGAAACCTTCAGTTACACCTTGGCTGACTGGAATACCTAAAAAAGTCACAAAATTATGCAAATACTCTTTAAAGAACACTGAATCACTTCTATGTGTATCTAAATCATTTAAATTTTTACCTTTCATCATAAAATCTTCAGCTGTGGGGACAATAGGCTTTTCTTCCAAATTAATCTGAAAATATAAGAATCCAAGTACAGTAAAATCCTCGTACTCTGCACCCGATTAACCGGAAATATGAAAATAACTGCACTTTTGAAAGTTTAAATTTAAATCCGAAATTTAGACCCATGAGATAAAAATAACATAATTGGCTAAAACTCTGAAACTTAAATGTTAAAAAAAATTTGTATTATGTTTCTACCTCCCAAATTAACAAGCGTTATGCAACTAGTGAATCTAGGAAGTTTCCAGACTATGAAGAACTATCATTCCCATCTTATGCTACCAGCGTTCACGATTTTCAGAAACAATTCACGCTGAAGGACTCCATATTTACTTTGTCTCTTTTCCGGAAAGATATAAGGAACATTACATTACAATGTTGTCAGGACTTAATTTCCAAAAGTAGAAGTGCCGGAGCCCTAGTAGAAGACCGTCAGGAAAGAGGAACAAGAGTTAAATAAATAAATAAAATTACTATTAAAAATCATTAGCAATTTTTTAATTATATAGTTAATGAGTATCAAATTAATAATTATTTAATTGATATTAATAATTAATATCGATTAATTTTTATTTAATTAATTCATAATTAATTTATTATTACGTATTAAAAATAATTTAAAATTCAACTCATTAGGTGATTAAAATTGAATAAACGATTTTTAATATAATTTTATTGCTAAAAATAAGATTTTGGAGATCAAATTTTTGCTGAAATAATTGTTCAGTTACATAAAAGAAGTGCCAGAGCTTTCTTATTTAGGACTCCGGTGCGCTCCGGCTAGAATTAGAATACATCTCAGAAACCAAGAAGTCACCGGAGCTTGGCGCCGGTGCAATGTAAGCTCTGTTTTGATGACATTTAAACTAATATATTTAACATAAATATGTCCTAAGCAAATTTTTAATTTCGGAAAAGAAATTGTCCGAGGCTGATTTTTCGCATAATTTAATAATGAGAACACGCATAAAGATTCATATATCGCAAATTTTAAAAATATAAAAGTTTGCGTTTTCTGATAAATTGATTTCAGCTTTAATAAACTGAATTGTTAATAAGTTGTAAATTACTGAAGTTCAATTTCATCAATGAATTTCTTTTCAATGGTATTTATTTCTAAAGTAAAAAATAATTCGCAATTTTAACACTTGCATCATTTGTTAGAAAATGTGTCGTACAACAAAACTTCTTCCAGAAAAGCAACTCGAATTTTGATTTTATACATATCTTTATCAAAACAATTCTCACATTTCGCGATATAGGAAAATTGGTTAAACTGATCTCTTTCCAACGCATAAATCAAAGGAAGGTTAAATGATATAACTATGCGTAACTATTGAAATAAATTAACATAAATGACACTTTTAGCTTTATATTTTAGAGAAATTATACTAATTAGATCACAGAAATACAAAAGGTAATAAACATTTATATACGTTATGTGAATATTTATATTAATGTAGTGTATTTTTTCCACACACATTACAAATTAAGCAATTTTTTCCTAAGCTGTTAATAATAAATGCTAGAAATATGAAATATAAACATAATATGGAAACAGAGCTATTTTATATCAGCTAACAATGGATGATATTATTAAAAACATAAATTTTTAATGCAGACAGACTTCTGATTTTTAAATAAATTAGTCTGATGTTTTGTTAAACTGAGTCGTTAATAAGTTTCAAATTGTTTAGGTTTAATTTTTCTAATACTAATAATCAATCACTTACGTACTAATCTTTTATGAAGAAGGTCATTGAAATATTTTCCATAAGGCAGTCAAATCCCGATCTTCTAGTTCTTCTTTTCTTTCTTTTGACTGACTGTCCACTGCGCTATGATGACCTGTTGCTAGCCAGGAACGTACATAAGTTGTTGGCTGAAAGTTTTTTAGTGAAGGGCCGACGAGTCTAATAAACATTAAATTAGAAAGAGTTTTGACATGAAGAGATGCGCGTTGCGGATTGCATATTAAGTTCATTGTCGAAAATCCTCTCTCACACTCTGTACTGGAAACAGGTATACAGTTTATTGATGATAAAACTTTCGCAATGAAGAATTTATTTCCTTTCCGTTAGCATCTATAAAAACTCTGAATTCCCTTAAAGTTTCTCGTTCATTTAGGTGGAACCTTTTGCACAAATTTCCTATTTCTTCTTCTCCATGTCAGGGGATGAAAGAGGCCAAAATTTCGGGTTGAGTACTTTTATGCCTTTTATAATTTCTTCATATTCAGTGCCGACGTTTCGAGTACGAACAGACAATATTCTACTTTTCATTGAATCAGCAAGACATCTGTATAGTTGACAATACTGAATTTTGGGGGATAGATTTCCCGCTTTTGCTAAGGCTTACACCTTTTAACTTCCTATTTTCAACGGACTGTATTGCTTCGGATGCGTACTTTCCAGGTTTCGAAGATCTTGATTCAAATAATTGTATTTGTAGACAGATCAGACGATGAGCGTGAATAATAGTTGTGCTCCTGTTTTGCAACTTCAAAGATAGTTCCGATAATTCTTGAAGAGCATCATACATAAGTCCAAGATTTAAAACAAATGTATCCGTTTCTAAAATTTTTGCTAAGCCTGAAAATTTAGATCTTTCTTTTGAATCTCGTTTTACATCTTTCGAAGAACTAGAAAAATGTTCATATAATGCTAAATAATCATGCCACACAGCTTTCACAGAGAGAAACCTCGAATCTACCCAGCGAGTATCTAGAATGCGATATGCATATGCAGCATATGCATTCAGTTCTGTTTGATTTTTTGGTGAATTATGATAAATATTCCTTAACTTGTCCAAAAATATTTTTAAATAGCTTATTCCGCTAACAAGATTAGCAGCATCTCCAACACTAAGTTCGAGTCAATGGTTTAAACAATGCCATATAATAATATCTGGAAATTTGTCGAGTAATAACTTGCATAGACCAGATTTTTTCCCCAGCATTACGGATGCTCCGTCGCAAGTAACAGCCACCAAATTTTTTCGAAGAATATTGTCGTCTATTTTATATCGATTTAATTCACTTAACAAACAGTTCAAAATACCATTTGCAGTAGAGTTATTTAAACACTTTAAACTTAAAAATATGTTAACTGGATTTTCCATACTAAAATGTTGCGTGCGTATGTATATGATGAGACAGGCATCCTTGCTAAGCGTTGTAGATTCATCTAAAATTAAAGAAAACTTCTGATCCTCTTCTACAATTTTCCGAGCTAAGGACTCTTGCATTTTTTCGGAAATATGATTAACTATATTCATAGCTGACACGTATGAATGCAAAATCCTTCCCATATTTAATCCATTCAATATCTGGACATCAATTTCCTTATGAAATTCATAGAAAGGTCTGTTTTGTTTTGCCAAATGATACGCTGTTATAAAAATACGTTCGGTGATTATCTGCTCATCTTTTCTCATAGCTGAAACAACTGTGCCGATTTCATCTATTTCTTTGTTATTTTTTACTTTTTCTGCTAATTTATGGGTCTTAGATGATTTATGTTCACAAATTTTTTCCCTTAGTGATTTCTGCTGTTTAAATTTCGAATCGCCATTTGGTCCTAATACTAACACTGGCCCAAATGTTATCGACTGGAGAGTTCAAACCTTGGGATCTCATAGCACCCAAGTGTGACACTAATTGATACCACCGAAATTTTTTATCCTTGAAAATTAACCAGTCGTTTTTGGTTTTTTTTTTTTTTTTTTTTTTTTTTTTTTTTTTTTTTTTTCAAAAATTCTATACCTTGTTGAATGGACCAGCAGCTTGGCAACATTTCAGGAAAACTGCTTTCTCCTAGACTTAGTTCCGATTTTGGAAAAACGGAAAACTATAATCTTTATCACCTTCTGCATCACTAGTCATCTTCATATCATAATCATCATTTGCAGTATCTAAATTCGCATTAATAATATTACCTACTCTTGCCTTTCGACTACATTCGAAATAATTATTTATTTTATGTTTGGACATTATTTTATAATTTTCAATAAGAAGTATTTCTAAAAATCCGTTTCACATACGTTATATATCTCGCGAGAAATGTGCTGAAGTAAATGCAAGTAAAACGAATGAAAGAGGTTGTCAACGAAAGTAGTTTACTCTACTACTGTTCAGCTAATTGAAGTGCTGCGGAAATAATAGGCAGGGATCATTCCGCATTTCAATGCAGCTGTTGTACCAAGCAACGGGGCCCGCCTACATTATAAATTTCCGTCCGGTGTCTTCTCCAGTGAGGGTGCCCCTTGACCATGCCTTTATTTGAATAGGTTCCCATATCTTCCGATCTTTCTTCCAAAACGGTGTTGTTTTAAACACCTGGCGATTTCTATAAAACATTTATGGTGTTAAGTATCAAGCTATTTGTCCTGTGTCTTAATGTGACACGCAGTATGATTTTTTGTTTTGCCCCTGGGCTACTTTAAATTTGTATGCTTCAGAATAATGCTTGCTTAATTTTGTTAAAAGTAAAGATCATGTGATAATAATTTTAAGAAATTTCTTTTGGAATTTAAGGATTAATTAATAAACAAGTAGAAGCAATTTTTATTATTTAACATCTCTGATGTGAATATAACTGTATAATACGAAATAAATTTATTAATGTAAAATTTAAATTACATATGACTTAAATACTTCCCTTCTCAACCGCAAGTTTGCAAGAATTTTGAAAAATTTATAATTCTGTGTGATAATATTTACATTTATCGGACGATAAATATCTACACATAGTTGCACAGGTTATAAGGTATGTCTCCCACTTTCCTAGCGTCCTTCGTGGTGTAACGGTATTCCAGAAGTCCCAGCGAAGGCGGTTGCATATTTTTCATCTTTTCTGCTTCCAATTAACCTAATGACTCTACAAGGTTTGATAGATTTAAATGCTATGCTTGAAAGGTACAAGATCTCAGTTTATCAGAAAACAATTTTCTGTATAGTGGATGGATTAAAAGTAAAAATTAAAAAAGAAAAAAACTGAAACTATCTATA